AATCAACTCTAATTAATCCTCCCATGTTACAGGTTCACTCTTTTGGCCAAAGGCAGTTCTTTCTTTCATCCCCAAGTTCTCATGCTGCTGTGAGTGTCTCTTTGTGCTGCTCCTGCTCTTTCCTGTTAGGTGGTCTCAGCGAGGGACTCTTTATTAGCACTGTCTTTGTATGTATGTGCGTGCTGGCTTTGTAGGACTAGAAATGAGGTGATCAGTTTATCACCAGGGACATATTGATGAAAAGATGTTCCGTGTAAGCCTAGAAGCTGTCAGAAGAGATAGGGAGGATGGTAGGTCATGAAGGATGGTGCAAATCCTGGAAACATAGGTGGGTTAATTCCACAAGGGAGTCACTGAAGATTTGGAACAGAGGGAAAATTTTTCTCCAAAGCCATCCTTGTCTCCTCATCTCCACATCCAGTGTCACAAGCCCTTCTGATTTATGTCAACTTGATGAGGTGGAAGAACCTGCTGAGCCTGGATAGCTGTGGCCAGAGGATTAGCAGCTTCTTTCCCTCTTCAGTTCTGTTTTTAGACTGGGATGCATCTTTACTGAAGATTAGCAGCCTGGTAGGCTGGGGAAATTAAATTTTACAAGAGCTGCAAACTGGAAAGCACATACTCAGAGATGTGAAAATGAAATGAGGTGGTTTTAATGTAGTGAGTTCTTAATGAGTAGATCCTGTGGCCTCAAGCCTTGGAGTTTTTCTGGAGGTGAGGTTACTTCAAAGTAACAGATGATATGAAGTTAAAGGGAAAATTCCAAAATAATTCCTAATCTTACCCTCTTGTCCCAGAATAAGGGGTCCTTTTCTGATTTAATTTAGCATAGTTTTAGTTCTATTGCAGTGATACGGAGAGTTTTGGAGGGGAACTTGAAGCACCCTTGAAAGAAATGGCAGCTCTATAGGTGGGCATTTCTCATTTATTACAAGCAGCATAAGCTGGCAATATATTTTTTGGCCTTCTACACACTCAGGTTGTCTTGTGACCTCTCCCTGCTTGATTTATTTGGCAGTTTCTCTCCGTGGGAAGGCAGTGGGATGGGTGTGTTGCAGCCTATGAATGTTCTGCTATACAGCAGCTTATTTGCATTCACTTTTATCTGATTAATATACCTGGTGTGTGTGTGTATGTCTGGAGTAATTTCTGGTTGATGTAGCACTACCTTGTACTGTGAACATTCTTCTATGTCATCTTTAAATAAAAATTTAGATCTGTCAGGATTGTTTTTTTCCCAGAAGTGAAATTAGTATGAGATTTTGTTTGGCTTTTGCGGATGTATCAGGAATGTTCACCATCTGATACACTTGCAAGTAGATGAAAGCAAAGGCAAGTTGTTTGTTTTTTTTTAAATTGCATGTAGACAGCTCAGTCAGTATGATGAATGAGTTTATTATTCTGTAAAGTGCTTATTATATTATGCTCTGCTTTGCCTTCATCTTTAGGAGAACCCTTTAACCACTTCAGGGATTGATTGCATTTGATTAGAGACTAGTTTGTCTTTTGAATCTATTATCCTGGATGAAAGTCCACAAGTTTATTCCAGATTCTGATGCAGCTGGAATTGCACCGTGTGTGTAATATACAAATGAAGAGCAAATGCAAAGCTATTTTGTAAGAGGGCATTTGAATTTCTGAGTAGCCTTTTCTTATAGAATTATAATACTGGAGAACAGTTAGAGAAGGAAAAGAGCCCACAGGCCCATCCTGTCCACAGCAGCTTTCAAATATGTCCTTTGCCTCCTGCACCCTTCCTCTCAGTTCTTTCTGTCTTTGAAACTTGAAAAATTCTTCCTCATAATTTTATCAAAAAAGAAAAAATTCCTGGTTTGTTTGAATTTTTCTGTTACACTGGCCACAAATGCTTCCCCCACCTTCTGCTCTGGCAGGTGACCTTCTCCCTGGGAGATGGAAGAGTGGTGCAGAGAACTTTTTTTCTGGTCTCACATAGTCAAGGTGACCCAGCTTTGGGAGAGGGGACAGGCTGGAGTACCTGGCAGGAGGTCTTGCAAGCCTCACTTTCCGTCATTCTTTGAAATTTTAACACTCTTTCCTAAACACCACCAACGTGGTTGATCCCTTGCCAGTATGTCTCTGCTGTGAAGAAGATGACCAGATTTAGAAGTGAATGTACTGGATAATGCTCTGAAAGTTTTATCTCGCAGCATCTTCCTGTGAGCGTGACAGGGTGATGGGATGAGGATGGGGAGGAAGACTGGGTGGGTACATGTTATGTACCTGCAGCATCCAGCTCCTGTGAGTGGTTTACAGGAGCTCTGATTTAATCTCCTGAGCTTCTCCTTAGGTTTTCACTTCTCTGTAGGAATGCTACATTTCTGAAGTGTCTGACTGACAGAGCAGGATTTAAGGGGGGGAAAAAAAAAAAAGGCAGAGCCAGCTTCCAGGCAGTTTCACTAATTGCAGCTTATTATAAATTTAACAGATGAACTGTCAGTTTCTTGAAGGTGTGTGATAACCACAACCTTTTCTTGGAATCTGTACTGGCTATTGAAAGAATTAACCTCTGAGGTGCTCAGCTAATAGAGTGCATTTCATTGCTCAGTAGGGTGTTTTTTGGTTTACAATTTCCAGGCTTCATTATTCCTTTTATCACATCTTTGATAGTACTGGACTGTGGTCTAAAAGATATCTTTGGTGGGTTTTTTTATATATTTGTATTTACTCTATTATTATTGTAGGTGGTATGGAGTAATTTTATTCTCCTCAGAGTGAAGCTTTTGCCTTTCAATAAAACGGGTCACTTTATTAGTTTTTCCTCACAGATGTCTAATTTGATAGGCACAGTACTACTGAAATAATACCTTTTAACACTTGAGATTTCTGGGTATTTTATAGCTTCTAAAATAAATTCTGTAACTTGAGAGACTAAACATTTGTAAGTAGTTCATCTGTCCAATGTAAGATTTTTAAAGAAGAAATATACATATAGCACTTTCCTTGAAGTTTTTGGAAAACAGTCTGATTTTTCTGAGTTGGAGGAGCTTTCCCTCCTGTTCTTGTGACTTTCTGTATCATGCAATCCTCATATCGTCACACTCCCTTTGAATTGTCAAAACTTTTCATAAAAGCTTTGATTCTCTTTTAATGTAAACCTCTGAAATCACACTTTATGTTGCCTGCATTTCTGTTGTGTGACTTAGCCTGAGGAGAGCACATCTGGGCAGCTTTGCTGATACCTCTGCCTGTCAACTGGCCATTGAAAAAGAATTTTGACCCTGAAAGCTGATGTCTGTATGATTTGTGTTGGCCAGCACTGCTTGCAGTCACCTCTCCTGCTTTCTTGCCCTGTTTATTCCCATGCAAAAAAACAATTCCGGGGGAACTGGCCACCTGGCCCTCCTTTGGTTTTCACCTTTTGGTGAAACTTCCAGCAGTAGGAAATGGCAGAAAAGCATACATTTATTTGAAAGTGATAATGCAAAATGAGGGAAACACTGAAATTTTTCTTTCTTCCCACCCCCCAGTTTTTCTTTTTCTTTCCACTTTTTCTAAGAAAGCAAATAAAAGCATCAGCATGGAGGTCAGAAGTTAGGGAGAGAACTGGCAAGTAGAGAGATTTCGCTCGTAAATTTAGTTCACACTTTTTGCTAAATGTAAATGATAGCTTAGGAAAAAAACTGCTTGGAATACATAGTAAGTGATGTTGCCAGGATACTTCCTGATCACGTTAATTAAACTGTCCCACAGATTTGGCTTAATGACTGCATAATTTGCATATTGGAAATTATGGTGCACATTACTAAAGAAAGCTCCTAATCTGGTAGCAGAAAGAACATTGTACTTGAATTAATTTCCGGGGAAGGAGTCTCTAGACTCGTTTAATGATGTATCTTGAAAATAAAGTTAAGATTTTTGATAATGAACTGACATGTATCTCATTTCTTTTTGCAAGATTACATTTTATGCTTGTTTCACTAAGTCCCTTAGAGACCTCATCCCAACAGCCTTCCTCATATTGGCTATTTCTTTAATTACAAGAACCACTGTTGCTTTCAAGGTTGCTGGTGATGAAGCAGATACTGGTTAACTTGTGTAAAGGGGCAGAAAATTTGTCAAGGCCCACATTTGGTACCGCCTGTGTGGTCTTGGTGATGTGCTCTCTATTAATCTGTCAGTTTCTCCTTGTCTTGTTTGTGTTTGGTTGGTTGTTTTATAATTTCTGACATGACTCCAGCATCCTACTGAAGGAGGCTCAAGGCCAAATGTAGAAATGCAGGAATACCTCTTTACACTTCCAGTCTGAGGGCAGATGTTGCTGGTGGACACCGTGTTTGGAGGCCTCGGGCCATCCCAGATGGGAATAGTTGTGTGCCTTTGGAGTGCTGAAATTAGAGGATTTTGCATCTGGATTTCTGCCAAAGTAATTTTATAGCTCTGGTCCCTGCTCTCGCTTGTAGTTCAGTGGCATTCCT